TTCCCAACACTTAACATAAGAAAGAATTAAGTATGATGAATTTCTGAATGCATTAAGGCCTATAAGAGCTTCATACACAAAACTGAATGGAATAATACAGCCAAACACAATTGTTGAGATTATACTCAAGCATGTGCTGAAACAGGCCAGACACTGAAGAGGTATAACTCAGCACAATTTCTTTACTGGGTTATTTTATGCCTGCTGACAATATAATGTAATTTTAGCAATTTAACAGAATTTAAATGAATGTTTATTAACAAGGACCTGTCTTAATGATTTAGGGTCAATAAAATGGGTATCTGAAAGATCTGGAAATGAGAGAAGCTGACTAAATGATTCAGCTCATTTTTCTCTCCCCTCTCCTTTCCAATAAATGACTTGACTTGGACTAATTTTGGTCTTTTTTTTTTTTTTTCAGAATATATTTAAGCATCTAATGCTCATGCATTAAGTCAGACTTCTCTGAAAAACCAAACCATGGTTAGATTTAACCTAGTTAGATTTTAATCTTTAGCTCTATTAATAAGCAGAGTCCGTAAAATGCCTCTATTTCAATTCAAGACAGAAATTTCAATTAGCAAGTTAAGGACTGAATTGCCATTGAAATATTAGTATGTATTCTGAAGTTTAATGCTATTTCACTGAAGGTGTAGCTTTTATGATAAAACATGATTCAGCATAAAATAAACTTTTTATAGAGATGCTACATATGAAGAAAGTCTCTTATCTTCTGTTTTATTATTAACCATCAGTTTTGCTTATAATATAGGATGACAAATTGAATAATTAGCTGTGAAAAAACAAAATCTGACAATTAATGAATTACTGCATTTTTATTTTCACCCCCTCCCCCAAACTATACCACTATTCTCCAGATAAGCTCATGTAAAAAAACAAGTATCATATATAATTACACAGTTCTCAAATACCTTAAAGCCAGAACTTTGACACTTATTTGTTGAACTTGATAGCCCATCATCTTTATTTTTATTAGGAAATAAACATCCAAACTCAGGGGAAAAAATAGCTGAAGACATCTTAATTTATTTAAATTTGTAATTTCTGAACAACTTCTCAAACATTTTTAAAATTTATACATAATATATTACATAAAAATGTGTTTTAAAAAGTTATGCAGTCCCATTAAAACTTTCCATAAAGCCAGTATGAAGCATTAGACCATTAATTTTACATGAACGAAAATGCAGATTATACGTGGCCTGACTACTGAAATCACATCCACATCATTAAATTCTGTTTATAAATGATTAAAAATCATTGACAATTTCACCTCTAAAGTAAGCCTGTGTATGATCAAAACACTTTTCAGCTGTAGAGGTCCACATCATTATGTGCTTATCTGGAGATGTAGGTGTTAGTCCATTGCTGAAGAGTCCAAGCTTGTTCAGACAAGGAGGCTGATCTCCTAGATTTAAAAAATACAATAGTAGAAGCATCTAGATACAATACCAGAAGCCAGCAAGCTGCTGCTTCTCTCCATAAAAACAAAATTATGGGCAGAGGAAAACCTTTGTGTCCCTGTCGTTTCTAAACAGAGTTAGTGTTTCATTAGCTTGATACAATATTTCTGCTACTCACTGATAGTTTGTCAAAGATCATTGTAGAAGTATCTTTCTGGGAAATCTCATCTAACTGTGGCCTATCACAGCAGCTCCATCTTTCCAGTGCTATCACCCATGCTTTTTAAACTGACAAGCACTACATCCACTAAAAACACCTTATCATACAAGAAACAAGTTACTTTTCGTTACTCCTTTCCAGTTTTCTTTGCCATGGGCTGGCCTGTTTTTGACAAATTAAAGTAAAAGATAAAACTCGTAGCAACTTGGTCTTCGCTGCCAAACAATGATCAAAATGTTGTGACTTAACATCGCTTTATGTGGAAGGCAACTGGATCTCTCTTTCCCAGCCTTAGACATGACAAATGGATTCACAACACCTCGTTGCAAGTATACTGACGTCATGCATTGTGAATACACTCGCACGAGAAGCCTCTTTCACCTGAGCATTTGTAATTCCCTTAGTAACTGCACCTTGGTATATCCTTCAGTCACTTGTTCCCGTTACATCTGGTTGGCTACAAACCAACACAGGTTTCTCTAGGCCTTCAGCCCTGCAGACATACAAACATCTCAGCAGTTGGTATTCAAAGGAGAGCACATTGCACACAGATAAGCACGGGATGATCCAAGCAGCTCCAGCTGCTGGCTGCAGCACGTGTTTCTACAGAGCAGCCACGGTGTTTGCCCCCACACAAACTTAGAAAGGGAAGGTACAGTGCTGGTGTTTCTCCAAACATTCACTCAAGTTTGGTTAAGACTTTTGATTTCCCTAAGAGGACCACACTTGTATGGGTTTTCTGGAGGCATAATATTTCTCTTGTTTGTTGTTTGGTGTATACATTTCTTCAGGGTGTTTTCGCACACACATACCACTAAATAAAAGCTAGTTAATTAATGATAAATTATGTGAAAACAAATAGTAAGGTGTTAATGCAAAGTTACTGAGGGTAGTAAAGCTAGAGCTGGCTAAAGGAATCTGCTTAAAGCCTCACAATCCTGAGTTCAAAGGCAGGTGAAATTCACTGCAGATAACTGTAATGTAAACACAGAAAAAATCCTAATCTTACCTATAAAATTATCTAGTGGATGTAGATATTAACAATCAGAAAATAGAGCCTGGGACATACATAGTTAACGTTGTGAAAACAGTGTTCAATGTTCAACAGAACAACTTTCAACAATGCCTAGTTTATCTGCTTTCTCACTTTCCTAGCAAAGCAAAACAAATGAGTGACTAGAATTATAAGCAAAGAACTGAATAATGACATGAAAATCATTATTTCAACTGTGCTTGTGTCTTGAATACTGGGTGTAATGCCTGGTCTCCTCTTCTCTAAAAGCATATAGTAGTGCTCAAAAATAAATAGTACTGACATGAAAAAAATCAAGTATATCAAAACTCGTCAGCTTAGGAAATAAATACAAGACTGAGGAAAGATATAAAATAATAAATTGAGGAGAGAAAGTGACTAAAAAGGAACTGTTCATTGTTTCTATCAAAATGAGAAGAATATAAATTAAGATAGATAGGAATTGAGCAAGGATGTTTTTCTTGCACTACTCTGCAGATGTTAAAAACCTATGTGGATTCAAAAGAAAAAACAGCAGGGAAATTTGTGGAATAAAAACCTACTGAGAACTGTTAAGAATAAGACACCACTTCTGATTCAGAAAGTGCTAAAGCCACAGATGGTTGCATTCGTGCTATAAGGGATCATATGACATCCTATCTCTGTAGTCTTCCTTAGGCATTTTCTAGTGCCCACTGTTACAGATATCCCCAAATATGTTTCAATGAAGATTACACCAGCTTACTATTTCTGGAATGTATTTATTTATAGCTAAATTCAAAGGAACTGAAAAATAAAGGATATACATAATAGAAGATACATCTCAGCCATGAAAGCATTTACATAAACACTTGATTGTGGTCCAGTCAAGATCATTAACACACGAATACAAGTAAATGTATGGATATAATCCCCAAAGGAACTTCACATTTTCCCCTTTTCAAAAACTTCTTAGTACCAGTAGAATGGTACAGAATCTGTGTTAATTGTACCAAGTTGGGACAAAACTGTATTCTTTTTTGGGAGTCTAGGAGTATTTCCAACAGAAGGGGTACTGCACTACTCAAATTCCATCAGTTTGATTTGCCTTTTGAAAAATAAATCATTACTTATTTCCATCTTATGTACACAAGTTACTTCGTTTGCCAGTGCATATTGCATTTTCTGCCAGTAATCATGCTCGACTTTCAGGCCCGTGTCCTGCAGCAGTACTTCCTGCCACCCCACAGCTTCCCCAAACCAGCTGCTACTCGGAGGCTGTCCAAAAGAAGCGAATCACAAGCATGACACCAAATCAGTTCGAGTTCCTTGTTTCAATAAACAAGCAAAAAGTGCAGTCACTGATCTACCTGAACTGATTTCTGAACCAATTTCAGTAAAGCAGCACAATATTATGTGGAAACATGACTCAAAAGACGTTTGTTTCAAGTAAAAAGGTAAAGATGAACAGTTATAATAAATTTCCAAAGTGCTAAATAGTTTTTCAGAAACAAGCAGTATGAATGAGCAAAGGCGTTACTCAAAAATGCCATTAGTATTTGCCCTTCCAGCAGTCTAAACACTTCCAAACAGTCTGTTCCAAAATGATTATTTTGATCCATTCCAAAGGGATTAGCTGTACAAATAAACCTGGTCGCGCAACGCGGTCTAATCTGCAACATAACTAACAAAGACTGAAAAAAAAGAGTGCAGACAATTACTCTAATCCATACTTACTTCTCTGGTGCCTAAAAAAAAAAAAAAAAAAAAAAAAAGGGAAAAAGGGATGGTCCTCAGAGGGGAAACACTTCGATACTCTGCGTGTGCCTTACAGTCCGTACGAGCAACTTTTCCTCGACATCTCAAAGCAAAAGGACAAGATAAAACACAAAGTCGCGCCAGCTCAGCGTTACTGCCCCTTCATCGCTTCCCCAGCCGTCCCTTCCCGCTTCCAGGCGGGAGCGCCTGGCGAGGGCGATGCGCGGTGGCCCGGGCTGCCGGGGGCCGGCGGGATAGAGATCGATATATATATGTACATATGTATTTATATTTTAAAAAAGATCGCGGGAAGTGCGGTTCGCAGGGCCCTGGGAAGGGAGGGAGGGAAGGCGGGAGACAGAGAGGGAGGGAAGAAAGGGGGGCGGGCGGCGGGGGCTGTTCCCGCCCCACTCCCACCCCCGCCGGGGCTGCGCCGGCGGCCGCTGCCGCTGCTGAGCGCTGGGAGGCGGCAGCGAGTCCCCGCCGCCGGATCCGCTGGGGGAACGCGGACGGGAGAGCGAGACTTTTACCTTTTCTCTCTATTTTTCTTTTTTTTTTTTTTTCCCCCCGTCCTCACCCACCATGCTGCGGACGCCGCTGCCCGCGGGGGACGAGCGGCGGCTCAGCCCGGCGCCCTCCTCCTGAGAAGGGATGCGGGAGGCGCGGCCGGGACACAGCTAGCGCGACCCGCGCCTCTCCCTCGACCTCCCCCCTCCCGCGTCCCCGACCACCATGAGGGAAGAGAGAGAAACTGCCGCGGCGGCCGCCTCCTCCCACGGCCCCGGCAGAGCCCCGCAGCCCTGCCCGCAGCCGGACGGCGGCGGGGCGGCCCCCGCGGAGAGCCTGCGGAACGGATACGTGAAGAGCTGCGCGACCCCCCTGCGCCAGGACCCCCCGAAGAGCCTCCTCTCCCTACTGCTCTTCCCTACCGCCTCCTCCTCCCGGGCTCGGCTCGCCCTGGGCGTCCTGGCCGCCGCTGTCCTCTCGCTCCTGGCCTTTCCCGGCCAGGGCAGCGTCCGGGAGCGGCAGGACGGGAGCGGCTGGCAGAGCCCGCGGCCGCTGCACGCCTTGCTGTGCCTGTCCCGCTGCCTCAGCCCCCTCTTCAGCATCGCCTGTGCCTTCTTCTTCCTCACCTGCTACCTGGCCGGCGGCCGGCGCGGGGAGCTCGGCGGCGGCACTCCCCGCTGGTGGCTGCTGGCGCTGCCCGTGTGCTGCTACTCGGGGGACTTCGTGGCGCTGCAGTGGCTGCTGCCCGAGGAGGGGCACGAAGAGGAGCCGCAGATGTTCCTAGGAAGGCTCCTGACAGTGCTGGGCTCGGTGACAGCGCTGACCCTGCTGCAGAGCTCTCTGAGGTTGCGCTGGAGCCTTCTCGTCTTGGTCTTCTCCAGCCTGGTGTGGCTGGTGCCGCTCGCTAGCTTCCCCTCGCTCCCCCCAGCCCTCAGACCGCTGCTGGCCGGCACGGCCGGGGTGGCAGGCTGCCTCCTGGCACTCTGTGGCGGGGAGCACGGCATCTTCTCGGCTCACAGCCGAGGAGCGCACCACCAGCATCATCGCCACCCACGGCTCCCCAGCGTGGAGGAAAAAGTGCCTGTGATCAGACCAAGGAGGAGATCTAGCTGCGTGTCCTTAGGGGAAACTTCGGCCAGCTACTACGGCAGCTGCAAAATGTTTAGGAGACCCTCGTTGCCTTGCATTTCCAGAGAGCAGGTAGGTTTCTCCGAAACTTGAGAAACTTTCCGAGGAATGAGCGCCACTCGCTTTTCCTAACCGCTGTGTACGTCTGTGCTGGATGTCTGCTTCCTGGCAAACTCCTGCTAGAGGAATGGAGGGAAACGTTAGTCCCTTAGCGGGTTTCTCTGCTCGGTTCTGTACAATCGATATAGTCCTTTATTTCTGAGTGGGAGCTAAATCATAATAATGTATTTGCTATAGGACAGAAGGCTCGCTCGCTTTTTATGTGATCTTAAATATTAAACAGTAGTTATTGATTAGAACAAAACCTCAAACCAAACATCTTCAGCTAGCAGTTACCTTGTTATTGTGATTATTTCTTTTCGAAAGCCCCCCACCTCCTCCGTTTCTGGCAGATTTTACGAGAGAAAGAAACCACAGCTTTCTAGCTGCTCGGCACTTCTGGTCCTTCCCGCTTTCTACCGACAAAATGATTACCAAGTGCTAAAGAAAGACCAGGTTTTGAGGGATATTATTTATCAAATGTTGGCGTTGGTTGAGCGGCAGCTGTCCTTCTACTTCTCGCTTGTTCCTCTGTCGCTTGTTCCTCTGTCTCCCTCTCACCCTCTCTTCCTCGCTCCACCTCAGTTAACGTTAGTTTTGCGTTGATGGGTTTTAAGAAACCTCTTTTTACAGAAGAGAGAGCTGTTCAGTAGGGTCTGGAGGGATGCCCGAAACGCTCAGTTTTCTTGAATGGAACTCTGTTGGTTTCTACCTCCCGGAAAACTTTTCAATGAGTCTTGTTTTTTGTAGCGTAAACCCCCGTGCGTGGGGGGGAGTTTGTTTTTATTTGGGCACTTGCACGTCAACTGCAGGAACATCGAGTTGTGTTGGAACTGGCCCGAGGCTGCTGCAAGTGGATTATCAGCCCGTTGTAGGAGGCAGAATAAGGGGAGTGTATTCAATAAACGTGCAAGTGAGCAGTTTCTGGGAAGTGACTGTTGCTGCAGAGTCCCCTGTCTATTACTGTCGTGGCTGAAATTCATGGGTGCTAAATGAAATTTTCTAACTTTGCTTTGACATGTATTCTGTAATGCACTTCTTACGATTGATTGTGAATTAGGTCTAAGGAAATACGAGGTGAATCTGAAACGGTGGAGTAGTTTTCGAGCATTTTCCCCCCCGTGTTTGCACAGTAGAATTAATATAGCAGTATTAAAAGGTCAAAACGCAAGTATGCTATAACAGGCTTCAGAAATAACTCATTCAGTAACTTGTAGACTATCTAACGCATACAATGAAAGATACATTAAAATATTGTACTAGCAGTTAAGATATGTAGGGAATATTGTATAACAATTTACTTTTTCTGTTCCCTTCGAGACAGTAAATGTGCCCTTTTTCTGTTACGTTAGTCTGCAGTACAGAAATCTCAGAAAATGTGATTTCATTAACCTTTCTAGATGATAGAAGATATTTGTTCATATGCATGTTACTAAAAGCTTCCTTTGACGTTCAACTCCCTTCTTAAAGGCATGCGCATATTTCAAGTTAGGGCATTCATTATTCTTTAAGTAACATCATAAATGTCAACTGTAACTAAATATGTAGAATTTATTGGCGGTACTTAAATCATACATGTTCATAATAAAATGTAACTGTTTGGTAGACTTCCAGAACTGGATATCTTTGTTATCACTAGATGTGAACAACAAAGAGATACGGAGGTCTTCATTTTCCTAATAGTCTATTATGCTTTACAGTAAATATTTGTACTTTGTTAAGAGCAGCTTAAATGGGATTCACAGATACTTGTTCTGTACCGTATTTTATATGCATTTTTACAAGGATAACACAGGTTAAATCTTCTCTTCTCCTGTCTGAGTTGGAGAGAGATCAGACATTGCAGAGATGATAAAACATCAATTGTTTGAGCAGGAGGAAGGAGAATTAAGCCCATAATGTGTGACTTTATTTGAATAAACAGCACAAGGTTTTTATATTGTTTCCTTGAAACAGAAGGAATGTATGCATTTAGTGCTTTTCAGAGAGAATTTATTGTGAGTTTTCTTTAAGGGCTGATTACATGTTTTGCAAATCTTTATAAAATATTACAATGGTTCTTTTCCAGTATTAATATTTTAAGAGGGAGTTTAATGAGCATTGTTAGGAAGATCAGTACAAGGAACGTGCTGCAAGTCCATCATGACAGGAATACTTTGATGAATGAGTTGTTACTGTGATTCTATTAGATGTATTTTGTGTGATTGTTACAAACCTCTTGTATGTAGAGGTTTAGGTCAAATATAAATAGCAGGTCAGAAGGTGATCCCAAGGATCATCTGGTTCAACCTTTCTTGGCAAAAGCACTGTCTAGACAAGATGGCCCAGCACCCTGTCCAGCTAAATCTTAAAACTGGAGAATCCACCACTTCCCTGGGGAGATTTATCCAATGGCTGATTATTCTCATTGTGAACAAATTTTCTCTTGTGTAGATTTTAATTAATCTTTGAGGAAAACAGGGAGTATTAGTGTTGACCTTAAATTTTCAGTTATGCGTTGATTTGAAATTATGTGGGCTCTCTGTCTAGTTAAATGCACAAGAAAATAATTATATTTAGTTGATTGGGGTTTTTCCCTTTAATAGATTATTTTCTAAGGGGTTTGTGTGCATCGAGTGGGAGGCAGGATGGAATATGAAAACGCAGGTATGTGGAACCAGTCCTGTGTGCACACAGAAACTGGATATAGCTTTTGCTGTTTTCTGGGGCAGAAGTGGAAAGAGGCCCTGTAAGCACGATCCTGTAAAAGTTTGCTAATTTGAGCAGTCCTCATGACAAATATTTAGATTTAGTTGCTGCACTTCAACAGGTGCAGCAACTATAACACTGGAGGGTTGATGAAATTAGTTTACCTTTATTCTTACCTTTTATATGAACACCCATATTAACTTTAGCCATCAAAGTCTGCAGATTCCTGCTGTGTGTAACTTCTCTGCAGTACATATGTCTGGCAATGTAGTTTGAGGTGGGAGAAAAGAAATTTGAATAATTATATCTTTAAATTTTTATGTACATATACTTAAATGCCATTATCAAGTATATAAATACACATAGAAGGAAACAATATGAATCAAATTAAGTCTAAAAGTCAGGCAATTGAAATGTCTTTTCTGAACTCTGCTATATTAACACTTCTGCTCCCAGAAATTCATGTTATTTTAGGAGTAAACAGGCTTTTATATTCTTACTTCAGTGTTCGTCTTGGACCCAGGGAGGAATTGCAGTAAGACTGCAGGACTGATTGGTATTTCAAATTTTGTGTAGGACATATTTTGATTGCATGTGTTAATGGGATGCTAATCTGTTAGCTGTACCTATTGCTACTGATATCAAAGGGTTTATCTTCATTGGCTGTTGCATATTTAGCACTTAATTTCATAATTTCTTTTTTGCCTAAAAGCCAAATCAGAACTGGGAATCTAAAAGGTGATTGTCAGTGTTGCAGATCTTGTAAGTACTGTTCTGAAAAATATGGTAGTAAAACTTTTTTCCTTTAAATTGATGGTGAGCTTGCATGAGAGAGCAAACAACTACGTGTAGGAAATCAAACACAGGAGCTTCTCAGAATCCAGAAAGAATATGTGATTTCTAAAATTCATGTTTTTCCTCCAGTAAAGAATAGGCCTTCCTAATTAAATACACATAAGTGTCCAAAACAGTCTGCAAACAGAGCTGATGTATTTTCTGGTTACCTGATCAGGTTAAAACTCATAGGAAAGCTGTGATATTTCATGGACAAGGACTGCCTTCACGTTACACTCTGATAATTGCAGGAAGAATTGTCTTGTGTTTAGGTTGTTGGATTGGCTGCTACCTCTCCCCAGTTTCTGTTCCAAGCTATCTCGTACCTCTGATGTATTACCCTAGGAAGATAAGGGCTTGATTTCAAGAGTCTAAAATATTTGTGTAACTTGAAATTAATGCAGTTCCTTATTTGCTTAGGAAATTTACATCGGCGTCTGTTTCCTATTTGTGAAACAAATTATACTTTGTCCTTAAATATTCAGGGTATAAACTTCCTAGTGCAGAAGCTGTCAGTTAATGTGTTTTTTAGAGTGTCTTATAATTGTTGAATTCAAATATTGTTTGCAGCCTAAAAACATGTCAGCCTTTACCTGTTAATTGCAGCCAATAACAAAAAATGTCATTCTTTTTGCTATGTATTTGTCAAACTAGCTCTTTGATATTTTAAGTTTCCCCCTCCAGATTACGACGACTGTTACAACAGTTGTACCTGCATGTCAAGATGTGTTTCTGTTATTAACAGAATCTTCATGTCTCTCAGGTTTGTCTTATGGGGAAAAATCAAGGTAGCAATGTGTGTTGAGCTGTGAATGTAATTAGTTTCAATGGGATGCAGCTGAGTGTGAGGAATGTGCAAAGGGAAGGATTACATGGTGAAAGCAACAGACTTGGAAAACTTTCTGCAACCGTATTTTGGATGAGTAGGATTCTATTGTTTCTCTCTGACCTTGACTAAATATTTTGTGCTGGATGAAATGTGAAATGAGAAGACTCTTGGTAAGAGTTACATCCTTTTTTCCTTTTTTTTTTTTTCACTTTTTTATATTGGTTATAGAGTTTTATTCTTAAAGTATTATACCACAAAGAAAGGATGATTTGAGTATGGTTTGCCCATAGAGAGGTCAGAGTTTAAGATGGTATCCTGTGGCGAAGTGATCCCAAGGATTATGCAGTGGCTCACAGAGAATGACAAAAAAAAGTATATTAGGGAAACTGAGTGCAGTTAAGAACTCTGTTAGCCAAGTTTACCTTGAGCTGGCTTTCAGATATCCAAGACTTGGTGGCAGTTCATATTCTGCACAACTAAAAGCAGGGAAGCATGACTGTAAGTTGTCAGTGTAGCAAAGGAGGTTGGCTGTTTCTTCAGGTGTATTTTCCTGGAAAGAAAATGTAAATGCAGAAAGGAAGGAGATCAAAGACAACTGCTGTGCAAATGCTGGAGAAATTTG